TTTCCCTGGGTGTCCTTTCGTGTGATAAAGCACGTTGAATCCTTCTTCGTCACTTCCTATGACATCTTCAATTGCACTTGCAACAGACTGATTAGGATTTTTCTATTTCTAACAATGTTAGTTCCATAGGACTTGAAACGTCTGGCATTGTTATGTTCAATATCGTAAGTCTTGCTGGCTTAGACATCATTAATCCATGTTTGTTTGATGCTTCACAAGTGTACCAGCCGCTCTGGTGAAAACCTGGACTCAGTAACTCAAGGCCTGTGTCATTCATACCTTCGATGAGGGCCAAATTTGATGTTAATGTTTCTTGGAAAAACCATCTGAAGTCAGCCAAAGGAAGAGAGGAAGTATTACATACGAAGAACACACCCTCAGGATTTCCATAATCAATGTCGCTATCTCCTGGATGTCGAGTTATAACTGGTGGATATTCTACAATGAGTTTACATTCTAGTGACTGCACAGACGTGACTTCATTACTGGCATGGCACACGTAAACTCCAGAATCAAATGTTGAAACTTTTTGAATGTGTAGAGTGTTTAAATTTTCATTGTCTAAAATTCGGCCATTGAAAGTCCAACTGAACGTTGGTGGAGGATCTCCACTTGCTTGACAGGCTATCTCTACAGCATTTCCTACTACAGTAACAAGCTCCGACACTGGGTGACTTGTAATGGCAGGACTTTCCTGGCATATGCCATTATCCTCAGTCAGCAAGTTTGTATGATTGAGAACAAACAATGCGCTATATTCAGCTTCCTTCACACTCAGTTCCCCTTTGTTTAAGAGTGATTGGATGAATGTTGCCATAGTCCAAGATTCAATGTAACCCCGTCGACCCTCCAGCATATTATTTAGACGTTCTGTATCTGTGATTAAACAATCAGTAAATATTTTACATTCAAACATTCGACTTTCATTGGTAATGTATCTGTTCATTGTGGCCTCCCATCTTGAAAAAAATATCGTCAGTTTCAAGCAAAGATCTCGTACTGTTAACCTTCCCCTTTTCCGCATAAATGACTCTCGACAATGCATCGGATTCGAACTCTTCGAATGGTATATCATCTGTCTCCTCTAGCTCTTCTCTTGTTAGGTTGAAAAAAATGATCGCAGCACTTTCATTGGCACTAATTGGAGGCGACTTCGACAAGTTGTATGCATATTCATCAAGGACAGTTTCAGACTGTTCAAAGTGTCCGAGAAATGATGAGTTTGCAATATTCAACAACGTATGAAAGGAATATTCGATGTACTGCACAAATTCAGTAAACATGTGGCATAGTTCCTCAGTATAAACAGATTTCTGATCACGTTGTACATTATCAGTAACACCGACATTGTCGGTCTTGTTGACAAAATCATAATTAACAATATCGATCGGTGGTTGACTAATAATGGGCGAAGTGTCCCGTTTTTGAAGACGATGAATATAACCTGAATCATCAAGGTAAACTTCCCGTTTCTTTCTTAATGGATTACTAACGTTA